CTCTCCCCTACCCTGGGGGTCTTCAAGAGGAGGTTAGATGAGTATCTAGCTGGGGTCATCTAGACCCAGCCCTCTTTCCTGCTTATGCAGGGGGTTGGACTCGATGATCTATTGAGGTCCCTTCCGACCCTAACATCTATGAATCTATGAACCCCAATCATCTTAAATTAATTCAAGCTGGTTCAGCCCACCGGCTTCTCAGGGGAACATAGAAAGTCGCTCAATTTCCCTGGTACTCCATCAATGAATCAATTAATCTGAGTACTTCCTGGTAGCCTTGGTTCTTTGACAGTTCATCAGGTAAATCCACTGCCCATGAGCTCCAGGCAGTCTAGCAAATAATCAGTTATCAGTGAGTTCCTCAAATAAATAAAATGTGCCTAACAAATTTGGGCAGTCCTCCTACAAGCAACCCAGCAGTAGTGTCAATAAGTTCCCCAAAAGTGGGTGTCTCCAACAGCCCAACTCCATACATCAATCACATCAGTATGTTCTTCCTTTGTTCTCTTAAGTGACCCAGTTAAAGCTCATCAACTCTGGAGCTGTACCTTAGGCAAAATTAAAAAGGCAATTCACTCTCCAGGAGTCATTTCAGCAAATCAGTTAAGGTAATCACTAATTAGTCGAAACTTCAAAGTAAATCAATAAGGCTTGTTAACTTCTCTATCAGTCCTTCTAATGAAGCCCTCAGGTCACTCCTGGCAGCCGGACAAGCCTTCCCCTTGGCCTAGAGAAAAGACAACAAAAGGTTATTTCAGTGCATTCAGTGATAAATTGTCCTGCAGGCTACCTGGCTCCAAGCGTGCATCTCTGGACTCTCCGTTGCTGCCATTTCCCCCATGCTGTGGCCTGAGGTGCCAGGCACTCCTCCGAGCTCCCTGATTGATGAGCTCCTCTCCTTTCCAGCCCTGGTGTTGTTGCTAACCATGTTCTCCCTGGAGCGCACCTCCATCTGGCAATTCTGTGCCACTCCATTCTCTCTCACCGCTCGCGCTGGACCTCCGAATATCCGACCAGGTCTAGAGTGTCCCCCAATCCAGAGGAAGCAAGATATCACAAAACGGGGCTCTCATCTTCCCTGTTGCTCTGTCATTGTCGCCGTCCCTGTGAGGTTGAGGGGAAGTCTCCAGTCATTACTGAGCTTTCCTCCAGACCCTCTTTCACTCCTTCACACAGCCCCATTTACATAATCTCAGTAAGAACAAGGCGTGTCGAGCTAGCAATCAAGGGAGAGCTACATTGGTGATGAAGCCAGGCAGGGGCCACATAGCCACCATGGGGTATCACTGCCATTTAGTTGGCCTGTCTATTACAGTTCCTGCATCAGAGTCTCTATCATTTCTTCCAGAGACTGTACTTTTGTAGAATCCTGGGAGGGGTCTTCAATATTAATTAAAGCAGAGGGTTGTTAGGCCTCCTCAAAACGAACTGGGGAATAAAATTGTGGACTTGTAAGGCTCGATACCATTGGGTATTGACCTGCGGCCCAGCCCCACCCACGGTGCCAATATAAATAAATAGGCCAGTGTCAATTATAATTCAGTGAGCAGACTATATTAAAAAGGCAGAAACAATAAATACACCAATTAACTAGTTACAAATGGACTATATACGTTCATAGGATAGAATAACAGACATAATAGAAAACAACAGAACTCTCTCATATGTGCTCACCACAAGGTGGCAGACTGTCAATTACTAGCTCTGGGCCAACAGCACAGGGGAGCTGCTTCTTTAGCTTCCTGTACTCTCCCCAGTGAAGATTTCTATACCTTTCCCCACAAAGGGTACTTGACACTTCACTATAAAAGGGTGGAGTTATACACTGCAACATTTCATGTCAAAGAAGCGTTATTATGTAACAGTAACAAATTCAGTGCTTCTATCAAGGGAAGTAGGTCATGGCATCATTAAGTTTGATAGTTCAGTGATTCCAGAGCTTTCAAACCTCTAGATGTATGTGTGGCATCTTTATCAGTAGGTCATACCATAGGATACAAGACCAGGAGCCAGGTGTCAACACCTTGCTTTGTGCTTTTCGCAGTTCTTTGACTACGGCTAACCTTGTCTCCCTGCTCTGCTCTTCTTTTTCTATGTTCCCCTGTAAGTTTTGCAGCCTCTGTTTTGTTTCTGCAAGCTGGGCTTGATATTGTTTGCACTGTGTCCGTAACACTGCTCTCATGGACATTGGTGGTCTGTGCAATTGGTTGGTCTAATCTGTCTCTTAGTCGCTTGCCTTCTTTCAAGTAACATGACTTAATCTGTCTTGTTCTGGATGAGGCACTGCAATTGGTTTGTTTCCACACACTTACCTGCCTCTCTTACCTCTTCTGCTTCTTGAAGGGTCTCCATGAACTATATCTCTTGAGCTGTATGTTTTTGGCTTCCATACTTTGCAGTTTGGCCCTCAGTGCATCACACTTCTCTGTCCTACATTTCACCTCTCTCTCCAGGGAGGGCATCTTGTGCCAAAGCTCATTAATCCTTTGCTGCTGCTTATTTACTTTTTCTATTTCTGCCATTATTATCTTTGTTGTCACTTCTAACCGGGCTTGTGCCTTGGTGAATTCCTGTTGCCACATTTATGCCTCCCCCTCCAGTTGGAAATAGAGTTGCTAATTCTCCAGTTCTACATGCAAGGACCTCCTGACAGTCCAGTCACCTCTCTAAGACCTCTATGGTGCATCACTGGTCTTCTGTCTGTTGGACAAGGTCCAGCATCTCAACTGTCTGTGCCATGCAAATCTCTACTGACCCCAAAGTCAAGGCCATCATTTTTTTCTGCTGTGTGTGCAGCTTCTTTTTCCATTCTCAGCTATTTTCTGCTTCAGTGGTGATGAGCTTCTTGAGTGCTGTAGGTCTTTCTGACAATGTTGCAATGAGTCCTCTAACTTCTTTAGATCTCCTTTCTTTCTTCTTGGCTTGCAGATGTTGCGCCAGAGCAGCTACATTTGTTCACATTTGAATTTTTCTATGTTTAGCTCCCATTGGAGTCGGCCCCCTCTTTTTCCCACCTCATCTGAGTACAGCTGCCAGCTGAACACCTCATGCTTTAATCCCTCTGTGGTCTCTGTCTCTGCCATGGTTCTTTCAATCTTTACTCTTTTACTTCCTCTCCACTGAGATGAGAGTGCCTGTGCCGGGCATGAGTCTATATCCATGTCAGTCCCTCCAAAGGCCCCTCCTGGACCTTTGGTCTCCCTATACCCATGACCCATTCCTCTGGCTTGTCATGGGTATCTTCACTCCTGCAGGGCCTCAGTGAGGTTCCTGGCCAATGCACTGCCCCAGGACAGGCGCCACCCTACTCTTTCTTCCTGACCCGGAGCTTGTTTTGTGCAAAGTTCACCTCCTGTCTGGTGCCTGCCATGTGGCATAGTTCCCATTAGATATTAATTGAGAAGGGAGACTGCTTATGGCTCATAAGGCTTCTCTCCCATAGCTGCAATCCATTCATTCTACTGTTGAATCTTCACCCCTTTTCTCTCCCTTCAGTATTCTGGGGATGGTGCCCACTCCCTTACTTCCTTTGAGCACACCGTGGTGTACTGTCCCAGCCTCCAAAATTGTAACAAACTTCTGTTAGCCTGTTATGCCTGACCCCTTCATGGGCTCACCTTCATCCTTCAATTCCATCTCTGCTCCCAGAACTTGGTAAGCCTCAAGAGCTGTGGTCTCTGTGGAGCCATTCTTTGGCCTGGGCAAACACGTCCACTAGCCGGACCACTTCCTTGAGTGTGGTGGATTGGTGTCTCCTTCACCCCATTTTGAGTTCCATCCTCAAGGTTACTTAAACTGTTCCAAGATGACCTGGTCGAGCATTTCCTTTTGCAATCTCTCCTCTGGCCTCAGCCTCTAGGGGTGCACTGATAAAGATTTTCTTGGCCAATACCGATAGCCGATGATTAACTAACTATATTGGCTGATGCCGATCTGATAACCGATATTTAGTAACAGTGCAAGGCATTTTAAAGTACTGACATAAATAAAACTTTTTTATTGCTTGTTTTGCATTTATAGCGCACACACATACATAAAGATTTTTTGCATTCCT